CAATCCATGTATTAACTTTATTTTCATTTCCATTTATTGTTAAAGCATTTTCTATTGCTAAAAATCCTTTGTGATTTGGCTTGTTATTCCCTGAAGATCTGTTTGGGAAAAACTTTTTCTCTTGACTTTCCTGCCTTTTTCCACTGGATGGCGCACTATCTTTCTTGGGAAAACGACAAAACTTTTGAACATGCCCAAATCTTCCACAGTTAAAACAGGTAGGCCCCTGTGGGCCGTGCTTAGAAGCTCCACCCCTGTGGGTCTGGCCTCCATGCACAAAGTAACCTGACCCATTGTCTTTAAGACTTGTGGTCTGTGAACACCTCCCGTTGTCTGCACAAAACTCTCTCAGTCTCGCGACAGCCACTTCAAAAAGAATTCCCTGCGTTGACTGAATGACTGCTGAGTAAGGATCAAATTCCTTTCCTAGTGTTGCAAGTAGGAAAGTGACTCGGAGCACATTATTGAGTTCTAATCCAATGAGTCTAAGCTTATCTACCATTTCTGAAAAATTCTCCATATGTTTCTCACAATCCCTTTTATCATTCAATATAGTTCTAAGAAGTGTCTTTAAACTAGCAACAGCAGATTGAGTTGATAAATGTCCATATTGGTTTCTCAGAGCATCCAAAATTTCCTTAGCAGTTTCACATTCCCGTATATAAATCATCTGCTTATTTTTAAGAGTGCTGGCTATCAAAAATTTTGCTTTAGCGTCCTTCCTTTTCCAATTTCTAGCCTCATCAGTGTCCCCAGGTGGACACTCACTATCTATGCAGATTTTCAAATCTTCAGAATCTAACATTAACATTATTTTATCCAGCCAAAAGGAAAAACTCGAATATGTCAGTGATTCTTTGAAAGCAAAAATTCCCTCTCTTTGTTCCATCTTTCAAAAGCAAACCCAAAATAACTTCAACCAAAAATGAGGGTCTCAAAAGAAATAATCAAAAGTTCAAAATTCAAAGTTCAAAACTCAAAATCTCAAAAGGTTTGGCTAAAATGGAAAAGAGCCCAAAAAGCAACAAAACCTCTGTATTCTGAAATTGCATGCACAGGGAGAAAGGGGAAAAGGAAAAATAGTGGCACTTTAAAATCTCAAGCCGCAAAAAGACAAAAGAAAGACTGTGGGTCAAAAACAAACCCCCCTTTTTGAGTGAGCTCTCTCTCTCTTGCTCGGGAGTTACCCTTAAGACGCAAGGGAGAAAAGGAGACTTCACCAAACCAAAAAGGAAATCAAAACAAAAGAAGGCATTAACTCTAAAATGTGCTCTTTAAAGGTTCCACAGCGGCGTACCTGGAGTCCATAACCTGATGAATAAAACTATATTTGCATAATCTGGCAGTCGTTACAACACCAGAAGATAGCCTTTAATATGCAGAGTAGCAAGCTTGCGGAAACCAGAGCTAAAATAGAGAGATGCCAGCGGCAGTAAAGGTACCAGGCCACCCCCCTTCTTTCTCCCTTTTAGGAAATACGCATGCAAATAACCATTCAGAGACAGAGTTAAAATCAAAAGTATTTACTTACTTAGAAAAACTTGCATGATGTAAATTCATACAGGTAAAACAAATCTTTTCGGTTACATTCACAGCAATGAGTAGTAGGCCTTGAATGGATGGCAACAGGCCTCTCTTCCCAAAGCGGTTACATCCCAAAAGTAGAGCAAACAAAATAGATGAACTAGGCAAATGGGCGAAAAGGAGGAAAAGCAAACAGAGAGGACAAAGGATGCATCCCCCTTTTATACCCTTTTATCCATGTGATTAGACATACGTGACCAAGACACCTTGAGAAATGGTGAACTACTCATTACCTTACATGCATATTTAAATCAGGGGCAATAAACTTTGGAATTTCAGTAGATCACATTACAGCATGGCACAAACACAGGAATGTGTGTGAGATTGCATTTACCCAACACTTTCTTTTAGGTCTTGTGGGCCACCAGTGGGACACGTCCACAGGTTGAGAACCACTGCTTCTAGCCAATGGGAAGTGTACATTTCTCTACCTTTGACTTGTCTGGTCAAGAGGATATGACTTTGCTTGATCATATCATTTCCTGCTCTCCAATCATGGGCATGTGGGCGTTTGAGGCTGGGCTATGCAAAGAACATTCAGGCTTCTGCTCTCTTTCTCCTTCCTTTATGACTGGTCGCTGTTTGTTTTAGGTTGAAGTGTTGTTCCTCTGAATTGAAATACATCTTGGGGATAGAAGTGCTTGGACTGGATCAGTGTGTATGTAGAGAGGGAAGAAACAGAGCAAAAATGTATTCACATAGCTCCAGAATTGATTGTACATCTGAATGCAGTGACAGTTATTTTCCACACTTTTATCCCGCCCTTTTCAGCCCGAAGGTGACTCATATCACCTACAAAGAAGTCTTATTGCCCCTAATGGGACTTACACATAAATTGATATGGACTTGTATTCCTGTTCCATTTTGGCCAGTTACACTTGTGTTCTCAGATATAACATCCATAGGATTTGATCCCTATTAGTTCCAGGTGAGCAAGCATCACTAGTGTTGAGAGATGAAAGAAGGATTATATCTCATCACTCCACACACTGTGGAGCCCTCAGTGGCGTGATGGGTTAAACCCTTGTGCTGGCTGGACTGCTGACCAAAAGGTCGGTGGTTCGAATCCAGGGAGCAGGGTGAGCTCTGCCTGTTAGCTCCATCCCCCTATGCAGGGACATGAGAGAAGTCTCCCACAGGATGGAAAAATAGGATGCGTCCCCTGGGCAACATCCTTGCAGATGGCCAATTCTCTCACAAGAGAAGCAAATTGCAGTTTCTCAAGTTGCTCCTGGCTCGGAAAAAAAATTCCCCACACTCTTGTTTTAAATGATCACTGGGGAAGGGGAATCAGAATATTTTTTTCCATTGACTTAGACACATTTCCTTTGCTTTTAAACAACTTCAACCACTGATTGACTCCTTAAAGTATGAACAGAAATCCAAGACTGAAGTTGGCATGAGCTGGGGAATGGGAGCAAAGAATTATTATATTCAGGTTGAGCAAGAGTTATACAAAATTCTGAAATACTCCAGAATCATCCATGTGGGTGGCTAAGGTAGTAGTGACACCTTTGCTTTTTGATACTTTGCTGTACATCACAGTTTCTTTCTACCTCCATCCTCTGCCCATTAAGCTCATCTGCTTACCCACTCCTGCCTTCAGTAAAATGTGCATTCCCTTCAGCTAAATAAACAACCACCCACATATCCAAGACACTTACTCTTTTTACTGGCTATTTTTACAAGTCTTCAGGATTAGGAACTCCTGACATATTTGTCCTACATTGCTACAGCAGTTTTGCACCACTCTCGCCCCATCCCCATAAGATCCTGAGATTTTTTGTTAGGTGAGGTATTGAAATCTCTGTGCTAGAGAGCTCTACTGCTTTAACTCAGAGGGTGGGGTATGAAGCTCTTGTAGGTGAAAATCTGTGCATCTCAGCAATTGACAAATCCCAGAATCCCATGAAATGGAGCTACAGCAATTAAGATGATATCAAATTTACTGTGCAGAGACATTCTAAGAGAACACGGGTAGCTGCATGCCTCTGGTTTGCAATCTCTTGGAGGGAGCTATTTATTTATTTATTTTCAAATTTTAGTAATACAAGATGGCTGTTCACCAAGATAAGTTTTTAATACAATGAATTGTAAAAAGTATTGGTCTTTAATACATTCTATTGTCCTCCCTTCTTGCCCTTTTTCCTTTCATCTCATGTTGTCAGAAATATTAAAAATTAACTAGGTACACTATTTTTAAGTACAAAAATGTGAGTCAAGCACTGAAAGGATTCAGTGGAGGCAATGACTCAGCAAAAGCTGTAGTTCAATATCAGCAGGTGCGCCTGTTGCTTAGTAATGCTTCAGTGTGAGAAAAGCCTGTGTGAGGGAACGCCTCAGTGGGGAAAATAGGTCTCCGTGATAGTAGGCCTCACTGTGCAAGAAAGGCTTCAGAGTGTGAGGTAGGCCTCAATATGAGATAGCCTTGTGTGTGAAGCTCCAGTGTGAAGGTTCCGCCTCATAGTTTAAGCTCCGCTGGGGAGGCCCTACTCTCAGTTCCACCGGCCTCGCAAATGGGTCTGGTGGGGACGAGGGACAGGGCCTTTTCGGTGGTACCCCCCACTTGTGGAATTCATTCCCCAGTGAGATTAGATTGCTGTCCTCCTTCCTTTCCTTTAGGAAAAAACTGAAATCATGGTTTTGGAACCAGGCTTTTGGTTAGCAGGCACAACAGCACTTTGGACATTGAACTGGACCATATGATTGTTATAATAATGAAAATGGCCATATGACTGTATAAGTAATGTTATTGTTTTTAATCTATTGTGTATTTCTGGTTTTATATTGTTGTTTATATCGTGATATTGTGGCATCGAATTGCTGCCAGTGTTAGCTGCTCTGAGTCCCCCAGGGTAGAAATGTTGTAAATAAATAAATAAATAAATTCAAACATTTCTATCCTGTTCTTCTCAAGCCCCGAGGAGGGACTCTTTTGAACTTTATTTGTGTCATGGAAACCTTGTGCTTGTAAATAGTGCAACCATATTATTTTGCTACAAAGAGAAGCCTCCTATGAAAGAGATAACATTGGTCTGTGTGTTTTTGTTCTTTTTATCACTTTGGGCTACTGGTCCTAGGTCACGCTGCTGCTGCTAAGTCACTCTGCTGTACATTTGTGAGAAGGGTCTTTGTTAATGACATTTGTTTCAAACATTTGTTTCAAAACTAGCAGAAGTCTCATAGCACTAAGAGATGAGGGCTGTCATCATCTGCCTGTGATGGTTGAGTGTATGCTTATGTCTGATGATGCAGGATCTGAGCATCATCAGATATATGCATAGGCTCCATCATCAGTAGTACATCAGGAGATGAGCTTTTGATAACAAAGGGGAAACACATACACACACAGAGTTTGGTTACCTAGAACTTCCCAGAATTATGCCATGAAGGAATTAAAATAAAGCCAATGCAACTTCTGGAGAAAGCCTTTTATTCGTTAATACAAGAATAGAAATTCTGCAATAAATACAATCTAATAAATAACATCTGAAAATAAATAAATATTAATACAGACAAACTGAGAATAAAACAACCTGACAGTAGGGAGGAGGGAGAGGGGGAGGAAGGGGCAGAGCGAATGGTGGGGGATAGAGAGTAAGGATTGGGGTCGCATGGGGAAATTCCTCCCTTTCTTCCCCTGCCGGTGACAGTGTAAACTGCACAGCCTCACCAGGCCCACCTGCCATGGCATTGCAGGGAGAGGTACAGGCAGGCGGTTATCCCTGCTGGGGCTGGCTTCGATGATGGCCCCAATACCACATTATGTTGTAGCTCTTGGACTCAATGAACATGGCATGAATAAACAGCTGGAATGGAGGGAGGCTTTTTACTTGGCCACTGGGATTGTGATTGGAATTGCGGGAATGAGGGGAGCAGCTGTAAGGGAGGGGGAATCTGATGAAAATCACCACCACTGCCTGCATTTAATCATGTCCCCTTAAGTTTTGTGCCTCATGTTACCACCGCCTGTTGAGCAGCCTTCCTGGTTAAGATTGCCCCTAGAGTTTATGGCCTCGCTAGAAGGCCAGCCTAGGCATCCTCGTGAACAAGCTGGCGTTCCCACAAAAACTGCCTGATCGGTAAAGCCCCTTCAGAGTCCCTAATTGGCATTGCCTTTAAAGAGAGAGCAAGATTGGGAGAGACTAAGCAATTTATGGAGGGTAGAGTGTCAGAGGTGCAGGCTGCCAGATGTTAGCTGCCCTGCAGCCAGGGCTTTATTGCTCATCACTGAGGCGGGAGGAGGGAATACAGTTCTTCCTCTACTTCTGAAGGAATTAATGGCCCCCTCTGGGAAGAGTATGAGGAAATATAGGACACTCAGCAGGAGGAAGGAACAAAGAACAAAAGGAAAAGGGGTTAGTGGAATGGGTTTGCTCACCTAAGGCACAACTTCCCAACAGAGAGCAGTGCAGCACCATGAAAGTGTGGGGGGCTGGTACAATTTTGAAAACAGTTGAGGCCCCTTCGACACAGCTGTATACAATGTCACATTATCTGTTTTGAACTGGATTATATGGCAATGTGTACTCAGTTAACCTAGATCAAAGAAGATACTGTAGATTATCTGCCTTGATATTCTGGGTTATATGGCTGTGTGGAAGGGCCTTGAGAGTGTATGTATATGTGATGGGTAAGGAGGACACTGTATGGATTTGGAGGCTTTGAGAACCTCTAGCCCTTGAGTGACAGTTATGACAACAGTGGATGAGGTGAAGAAAGAGTGGCAGAGGACAAGGGTCAGAAGCGCCTGCTTTCAAGATGCAGCATAACAGCAGAAGGTGGCACCCTCTTGCGCAGCCTGTTGAAGTCCTTGGCCGAGCGCCACAGCCATGTCTGCAGCTCTTTAAGTAGCCAGAAGTCATCCATCTTACGTAGGAAGTTAGGAGGAACAGGCTTGGGCGTAATAGGTGGTGGCTCTGGAGTGGGGAGTGAGTATCCCAGGGCTGCCATGATGCCACCAATAGAGCCCAGCAGCCCTTGCAGGCTGGCACGGAAGTGGGCTAGGCTGTGATGCAAAGTTGGCACGGCAGCTGCATCTGCTCCATCCATGGTCCTAAGGTGGCACAGCAGGTGGCTGTATGCCTGGTAATTGGCCGCTAGCCGTGCATTATCGTTCAGGCTGTGCCACTCCTGGATGTCCACAGTAGCACTTGGCACGGCTTTTGCCCCAATTGTCCGGGGAGGGTCAAAGTCTGGTTCATTGAAAGGCGGCCCTAAGTAGTTGAGCTGGAAAGCAAAGACAAGAGAGTGTCACTTTCACTTGTAGAGGGGTTGCCATTCCCATTTATCCCTTTCTGCATATCCCTTTCTCTCTACAAGCTCATTCTCCTCCCATTCTCCTTTCATTCACTCACTCACGTATATGATGGCTTGAGAGCAAAATAACATGTTCATATATTAGAGATACGTAGCACACTATAAAGCATGAGTGCATCGTTACATATTTGATTAGCAGAAATAGCTGCACCCAGCGTATAAGCTTCATATGCGTGCAGGGGTGCATACATGCACCCACTTGCTGGCAAGCCCACGCATAGACAAGTGTGGGCCTGTCAATGTGCATTCATAGGTGTCCACAGATCCACTAATACGTTAGGATCTTTTTGTTACCTAGTGACATCCCTCGTACTACTGCTCGTGCCGTCATGTGTCGGCTAAGAGATCCCTGCTTCTCCCGGAACACACACACATGTGTTTATACACCTACTTTATTAACACCCGCCTGCCCTGCAGAGCTACGTTCTTGGGATTCCCCACCCCCTGCCAGCACTGATGCCCTGCGGGACAGCAGGATTGCCCAGGCAGTGGGGTGAGCGGGTGGGGTGAAGCACAGAGCGGAAGGGAGGTGTGTCAGAGCCTTCAGGCGTGTGAACAATCTGACAAGCTCAGGAGACAAATTAATTTCCTCTGTGTCGCCTGGGGACAAGTAGAGACGGTTCTCCCATTAACAACAAATGCTCACCAGCAGAAACCAACTCGTGAGGCAGGCTGGGGCAGTGGCCAACACCATGAGACCAGCTGTGGAAGGAGGATGAGACTGAAGGAAGCGTTCACATCTCTAATACTGAAGGGGATGGACTTTGAAGGGCAGCAGAAGCAAGGGAAATGAAGGTGGTGCAAGGCAGGCAGATATTGGAGAATGCACTGGAGGGTGGGTTTTTTCAGCAATTAACCTGCATCAGCCAAAGGTGTCTTTTGCCCACTTTCCCCTTGCAGCATAGAGGCTTTGTACAGTTCAGGCAATCCAGGGCCCTTTTCAAAAATTCTTGATTTCTCTTTCTTTGTAGGACCAAAGTAGAGCAACAAATGGTGTTTCTCCCTCACCTCCATGTGAGTATCTAAGGGCCCTTCCACACAGCTCTATATTCCAGAATATCAAGGCAGAAAATCCCACAATATCTGCTTTGAACTGGGTTACCTGAGTCCACACTGCCATATATGTGGGATTTTCTGCCTTGATATTCTGGGATATAGGGCTGTGTGGAAGGGCCCCAAGAACAGTCATTTGGGCATCTAATGCCAAAAAATCCCACAAATCTTTCTTCCTATCTGTGGCATTAAGATAACAAAATAGTAATGAAAATTTGCTCCCCTTTCACCATGTTCTGCTTCTGCTGCCTCACTTTGCCTAAAAGACAGGCCAGTCCCATCTGTCTCAAAGCTGTAGCCTATTGCTGTTGCCCAAGAATCATCAACTAATAAATCTCCATTCTCACTGTGAAATCACAAGGATTTCAGAATGATTATTAAGGTTCTTTTCTTTTGCTTTCAGAATTCTGGGGCTTCAAACATAGTTTATTATAGCCATAAAAAAAGCTCCCTCTGGGCAAAAGGGAAAGGAGTCTTAAAGAAGAGCCTGTTTAACTTAAAACCTCTGTCAGTATCAGTACTGAATACTAAATGTGGGCCACCAGGCAGATCCTGACTGAGAGAGCAAGGTTTAGGTGCAAACAAGGAATCAGGAGTGTGAGAGAAGAGAGCCAAGAAGAAATAAGGATAGCTGTGGACAGCAAGGTAGGAGGCAAACATTTTTGTCTTAATGTTACATTCTTTTTATAGTAATTTTTGTTGAATTTTCATATAGATAGGATAAAAAGTAGAATATGAAAGAAAAAAGAAGGGAAAAGAGACAAGATCCAAATGAGAGAAAAAAAGAAAAAGGAAGAAAATGTACTTTCAATTTTATCCTTGCTGGGTTCAACTAAATTATTCCAAAGTCTTTAGATTTATCTATTCCTCTTTATCTGTTAATGCTTTATTTGCATGCTCTTCCAGTTGTTTGGGTGGGTATATAATTAAAGCTCTCTTCTGTGTGTGCACATACATCCTAAAAGGTTGCCAGTCCGTCTTTTTCATGGTCTTCCCTGATGTCTTGTTAGCAGCTGGGTCAATTCATCCATATTCATTACATCCATAATTTTATTTAACCATTGCTCTTTTTTGGGTATTTTTTTTTGACACCATAGCTTGGTGTATACTATTACTTTCCATCTTCACATCTATGAGTCCTAGCAAAAAATGCTCTGGTTTCATTTGTAACTCGATATCTAAAATCTTCTGTATATCTTCATGAATTATTTTCCAGTTTTGTTTTTGGGGGTTTTTTTGTTTGGTTTTTTTGCTTTATTACACAATCACCACATGTGGTAAAAAGTTCCTTCTTGGTGTTCACATGTAAATTTGTCTAATATTTTCCTAATTGGTATGGGGTGATGTACCACCGGTGCACCATTTTGAGCCAATTTTCTTCAAAGTCATATGTATATGTCTCTTTTGGTTTATTATTCCAAATGTATTCCCACTCATCCATTCTGATTGATTGCCCTATGTTGACAGCCCATTTTATACATTCTTTAACCTGTTCACTCTCGATCAACCATTCTAATAGCTTCTTCTACATTTTCATGATAGACTTCTTTTCTGATTTCATTATTTTATCAGAAAAGGTCTCTTCAGATGTGAATCCGTTCAATCTATCTTTGCTGTAATATTCCTTTAACTGCCTGTATTGAAACCTGGAGATATTTACAAATATTAACTTAATTTCTTCTTGTTGTTTCATCTCGAAAGTATTCTTTTTCTTCGTCAAAGCATCTCTATGAGTAGGCCATTCTTTCCAACCTAATAGTTTTCTCTGACCTGCTTCTAATGGTGATACCCAGAGGGGTGTGTTAGCATAGAATCTCTTTTTGTATTTGTCCCAGATTTTGATTAACGCCACCCTTATTAAATGGTTTCCATTTTTTTTTCTATTTAGATTTTCCCATACCTGATATAACCATGCCAGCCTACCCTTAGATCATGTCCTTGAAGGGTCAATATTTTTTCTCTATTCAATGTCATCCAATCCTTTATCCAGCAGCCTCATGATATAATTCTAAATCTGGCATGCCGAATCCACCTCTCTTCTTATTATCTGTCAAATTTGTGGATTTAATTCTCGCTTTTTTCCTAGCCAAATGAATTTAATCAGACTTTTGTTCCATCTTTAAAAATCTTTAAGGTTCTGATTATTGGTAAGTTTTGAAATAAATACAGCATTTTTGGAAGTATATTCTTTTTACAATAGATATCCTTCCCAGGAGCAATAAATTTAAATTTTTCTAAATTTACCCAAATATTTATTTTTAGTTACTATTTGAAAACCTGATCTCTCTTTCAGTATCTCTTGCTTCTTCTTTGTAATATTTTTGGTCAGTAACATTGATTTTTTAGTATTTATTTAAAATCTTAATGTTACATTCTTAATATGGGAGCAGAATTTAGAGAAGTCATCTTTTCTGAAGTATGGTTCCTATGGAATTTGTTGACGATAAAGTAACTTTTCCAAGCCCTTCATAGGAGTTTTGCTCACTATATCAATATGAGCATATTTCCTTGTATCTGAGCTCCCAGTGGCGCAATGGGTGAAACCCTTGTGCTGGCAGGACTGGTTGACCTACAGGTTGGTGGTTCAAATCTGGAGAATGGGGTAAGCTCCCGTCTGTCGAGCTCAAGCTTTTCATACGGGGACATGAGAGAAGCCTCCCACAGGATGGTAAAACATCAATCATCCTGGCGTCCCCTGGGCAATGTCCTTGCAGACAGCCAATTCTCTCACATCAGAAGTGTCTTGCAGTTTCTCAAGTCACTCCTGACACACACACACACACACACACACACAAGCAACCTTGTGTTAAAAGATAGGTCAGTGGTTCTCAACCTGTGAGTCCCTAGGTGTTTTGGGCTACAACTCACAGGTATTCCAGCCAGTTTACCAGCTATTAGGATTTCTGGGAGTTGAAGGCCAAAACATCTGGGGACCCACAGGTCGAGAACCACTGAGATAGGTAGATGGTTAAGTAGGTGGATGGATAGATAGTTGCAAAATTAGTGCGTCTCTCAGATGCAAGTATTAAGAAAATATCTTACAGCCTTCTCTTCGCCTGAGCATTGGGCTAGAAATGCATGGGTTTATAAATGTGCCTTTAAGAAAAAAGGAAAATACATGAAAGTGAGGATTAAGTTGAGAATTCTTGGGACGTTGCACATTGTGTTCAGTCCTGTACTGAATGCTTACATATGGGAGAATTCACACCACCCGGGTCATAAAACCGGTCTTCCAAATAGTCATCCTTGTCAGATTCTCAAAAGAACAAGGAAGGGGTTTTTAGGCAGAAATTACTGTAGTGCATACTGATATACTGCAGGGATTCAATGTGCTTAAACTTCAATCCCCTAAAGAAACCTGTACAGATGTTAGACTACAGTCCTTTAGCTGTATAACGATGGTAGATTTTCTTTCCTTTTTCCTGGCTGCCTCAATATCCTTTTAATCCCCAATGCTCACATTGCCACATATGGGAGCAGCTTTGCTCCAGCCGAAATCCCTTGGCAGAAAGTTCACAACATCCCTCAAGAAGCAAAGACCAAGGCAGCAGAATCAACTGGTTTCCTTCCTTGTGAGATACAGAGCCCCTGTGGCTATGTGACAGTGTGCGTGCATACACTTGTGTGTGTATTTTCCCTCCTGCTGAATTGCTTAGTTGCCAATCATAAGGCATTAGCAAATACTAACCTGCTTAGGGGAAAGTGGTAGGTTAAGAGACAACCATCCGGGAAGGTAGAAAGCAAAGGGATTAGAACAAAATAACAAAAATCTAAAGTGCTGCTGTGCAGAAAGAATATGCTTCATAAAGTTTAAGGCAAAGATGGCATATGTAAAGGAGGCCCAATTCAAATACTGCCAATAGCAACCTATAAAGTCCTCCCAATGCTACAAACTTGGACCACCAAAAAAATTGTTACTTGTTGCACTACTTTTTTTACTGAAGGGATGGATGTCAAGGCCATTACTGAAGTTCCCATCACTGTTCCCCAAATAGATTTTTTAGGGCAGAAGGAAAGAATGGCATTTTTGAGCCTCCAGCAAATGTGATTCTATTCTTTGTTCAAACTCCAAATCCACTTTTTGTAAAAAAAACAAAAAACAAAACAAAAACAAACAACATCTTGTAATTAATCTTCTCAACATTTCTGACGTCATAAGGAAGGTCCGATGCACATCATGGAGGGATTGCGGAATTGGAATGGAGACCCCCAACTGTTCAAGATTATCTATGCTTGCTGCACTATTTCCAGCACTAATAATCTACTCCTTCTAAAAAGGGACAATTTTTTGGCAAAATTCAGGTTAACTTCTTTTATTAAGCAGATAGGATTTCAGATCTCCCTGCCTCTGCAAAAACTGCAGAATTGTCCTTTTTTATTAGATGTAAGTAATTTGTAACATTGTCAAAATTGCATTTACACAACAAAATAATAATAATTAACTTTATTTATACCCTGCCCTCTCTCCCCAGAGGGACTCAGGGCGGCCTCTGAAGTATAACAAAAATGGCAAACATTTGATGCCAGGAGCAAATAAACAACAGTCACAACGAACCATGAAATAAAATAGACTAAATATACCTTATAAACAACAGAACTTAAACTAAGTATAAGCTAAATACCATTTAAAACACAATTCATTAAAACATTTAAAGCCCAATAAATTATATCACGTTATTATTATTTTATTCCCTCCTCATATGACATATTCTATTGATTACATTCTAGCAGTTCTATATATCTATTACCTATACCTATCCAATCCCCCCTTTCTCCCTTCTCCCTCACTTTGGGAACAGTTATGACTCCTCTCTCTCTCTCTCTCTCTCTCTATATATATATATATATACTAGCCGCCCCTTGCCACGCATTGCTGTGGCCCAATCTGTATATATGTTCTTTGTGTGTGTGTGTGTTTGCGTATATATGTGGTTTTGCACATGCGTTGTAATGTATTTTTTATTTTTTTGCTTTTTAAGTCTCGTCTGCTATGTTTTTCAGTGTTTTTACGAGTGATTGTCACTTGTTGGCCTGATCGGTGTATTGTGTCCAAATTTGGTGTCAATTCGTCCGGTGGCTTTTGAGTTCTGTTAATCCCACAAATGAACATTACATATTTGTTTGTTTGTTTGTTTGTTTGTTTATTGCTGGATTGCCAAAACAAAGTTGTGTTCTGTTCTGTGATTTCCTTGCTGTTTGGTTCGAACCACTGTATAACCAGTTTATAGGTTCCTAAGGGCCTAAATTTCCAAAAGGCACCAGATGTATCTTATCTTGGATGGAAGTTAAGCAGGGTCGGTCTTGTTTAGTACTTGGATGGGAGGCTGCAAATGAATACCAGGTATGTAGTCTATATCAGAGGAAAAAACTGGGAAAACATCCTCTGTATTCCTTACCTAAGAAAACACTGTGAAATTCATGAGGTTGCCACAAATCAACAGACATGATGGTCTGCACACACACAATTTCTCCTGAAAAACTAGCACATGGTGAATATGATCACAACATGGCTCCTGAGAGATTTGATTAAATGTTGATTATGAATTTAGTCCCCTATCAGTCAATATTTATTATCATGGTCTAGAACAGAAGTTTTTACCATGTGGTCTATGTACTGCTTGTCGCAGTGTTCTTATTTCTGTTCCTTTTAATTCTCTTCATAGTGTAATTCTATTTGAACTTTTTGTTTTTATTGTTGGGAGCTCTTATCTGAACCTCTTCTAACTTTTTCACAGTGCTGGAGGTAGGAAATAAATTACATTAGATTAAAAAAAGAAAGTATATCATTGTTATGTCCATACATTCGTAAGATGGCACTACTGGTTTCTGCATGATGGATTAATGCTTGATTTTCCAGACCATGCTTCCCCATGCAAATTTTTCAAAAGAAGTTTCTGCAACAGCCTGTGTCTTCCTAATTTTCAAATCCCCGATTTCCCTTCTTGCAATTGCTTTTGGGTGCTGGGTGCCAGCAAACCTTGCCAAGGGGTAGGGCTTGAAATGCCAGGTAGGCCAGGGAGCAGGGATACCGTGCGGATGGAAGAGGGGCTGCCCCAATCTCCACTCTTTGCACAGCCGGGGCGTTTCCCTGGCGAGTTCTGACAGACGAGGCCTCGCCTCACCCCAGGAGAAGATGCACAACAGATTGTAAACAGGGAGACTCCACCGGTGCCTGAAGGCAGGGAGGGGGGAGCATGTCAAATACTCTGCCGAGTGAGGGCTGTGCAGGGAGAGCAGTGCTTTAGCCCTTCGTAAGGAAATTTCCGATATAAGGTAAAGGTGTGAGTGTTGTTCTCAGAGGGCGTCACAGTCAGCTGAAGCCATGAAGTGCCTTCCTTCCTACACGCCTTCTCTAAATCCCGAGCAGAGTCAAGTTCTGTCACCTTTTGATGCTCTCGTCTTCCCACTGAACTTTCAGGATTCAAGAAGTGCGTGACTATGTCTGGGATTTGATGAGGACAAAGAGAAACAAAATCAGGCCTCACCTTACTACACAGGCATCAAAGCAGAGAGAGACTTTGAGGCACAATTTACACAAGGGGTGTAGGAAGAAGAGGAGGAAGAGAGGGCACAAGGGAAAAGGTCGAAGAGGGAAAGAGCAGGGCACAAGGGCAAAAGAAGGGAGTTTTTTCCACAAGATTACTCAACTCAGTATTCTCCGACTCTTTCAAGGCGTCTACACTCACATAAGAAGCCGCAAGCGTGTGCAGCTGGTGTTCCAGATAGCGAGTGAGGTCATACATCTGCTGGATGGAGTGTCTGGTGGCCAGTTGGTCCGTGTTGTTCAGTGCGAGCACCACAGGCAGGTTCCAGAGCGTGGCACACAGGAAGGCAAGGATCCCCCACGAATCTCCTGCAGGGAGCACACTTGTAAGGAGCTGTGGGCAAAGGGAGCACTGTGACAGGGGGAGCAAAGCCTAGGTCACCTCTCTCCATCCCACCCCATCCCAGGAGAGAAACTTTAGGGAAAGGTGCTTCAAAGCCACCTGCTTCTAAAACCCAGCCCCATCCTTCATTTGACATATTGATAGAACTAGGGAAATCCCTCAAAACCACAATAAATAACCCATGAGCCAGGGACTGGGTGTCTCACAGCCCTAGGAACAAATGAGTCACTGAGCTCAAAGGTATTCCCGGGTATTCCAATGCTGCCCTACCTTTGGCAACTGCTACAGCAAAATAAGATGAACCAACTACAGAAATACTTGATCAAAGAGTCATTTGCCCTGTTTCATTCATACATTTTTTCTTATAATTGCTGTTTCACCACGCAGGTTTCTATTTGCTTATGAATTTATGCTTCCCGTTATCTGATCACACTTTCTCTCTTTATGTAAATAGCAGCTTCATAGGTACAGATATTTTTGTCTGTACTATCACAGAAACAGTCAAACTTTTTCTTGCCTTCATACCTCTACCCTCACAGTCCCATGCTGCACATTCTAGTTTCACATATTGCTGTTACTATTGTGCAATTGAGTACTGGATGCCTCCTTGTTCCATGCCTCCCCTAAAGTACTTAAACTGGCGTAACTGTTATAAAACCAAGAGGAGTAATGCCCTCATCCCCTTTCCCTTTTTGATAGACATATTATTATTATTATTATTATTATTACGGCCAGTCTGATGTCATGGTTTGAGTACTGAAATAGGGCCTTCATGAGACCAGGATTTGAATCTCTATTACCTGGAACAAATCACTCTCTCAGTCTTTGAGGAAAGTAATGACAAACCTCCTCAAAATAAATCTTGGATTAGAGTTCCCATTAGCTGGGGTTGCCTTGAATGCACATAACAGTACTAAAAACGATTACAAATGTTTATTCGTTTGACCTGAATTTTGAAATTGTAAGACACTTTGTAGGACATTTTGAGAGTGAGCTGTTGAATTACAAAAGAAGAGAATGTGGTGAGCATTAAAGTGGCTCAATATGCCCCTGAGTTGTGCAGAAACTGCACATCAAAGGATATATACAGAGGGGGGAGAGGGGTGGTGGTTTTAAGTGTCCCTTATCCAAAATGTTTTGGATCAGAGCTGTCCCATATTTCAGATTTTTGCAAATTTTGAAATATGTTAATATACATAATAAGACATGTTTCACATATGCCTTTAGACATTGCCATTTTATGCATGAAACAAAGTGTGTGCACATTGAACCATTGGAAAAGCAACCATCAGCAATCCATGTGGACAATTTTGAATTTTTGAGTATTTTGGAATTCTGGATCATCATCATCATCATCATATATTTATACCCTGCTTTTTCTCTACCAAAGGAGGCTCAAAGTGGTTATCATTAAACACTATAACAGTGTGTGAAAGGGATACTCAACCTGCAGTTCCAAATGTATTTGGTAGAAATCCAAAAGGCTTTCAGCATATCCATTTCCCCACCTTTCTGATCTCTGCAGGCCAAGTCTGGGAACCTGGTCATGCCTGCATAGCCGCCATGGAAGCCTGGCCCATTACTCATGTCAATGCCTCCCACTTGTGATGATTCACCCATGAAGCACGCAGCCCGGCCCTGGCCACTCGCGCTTCATTAAAGACTATCCCGCGGCATTTTCCTGTGCGCACCACGCCCCAGCCCAGCCCAGTTGGGCTGATTCCACCCTGCTTCACTTCTTCCGCTGCTCCCACCAGAAATGGGGCCCACCCATCCTCTCTCCTATGCACTTGACAACATTTCTACAGATTCATATCCTCCAAGTGTCCTAATTTGACATGGACAGTCCCAAATGGTCCTGTCATCCCACTTTGGTTGCTTTTCAAAATTCCCAGTTTCTCTCTCCTCCTCCCACTTCTCTCCTTTGTCTTCAAACTATTTCAGTTGTTGCAAACAAATTTCAAAGAGGGAAATAAATTTGCACTGAACTCAGCAGAAGGAGAGGACAGGGCAGTGTTTTTCTTTTTTTGGTAGCCTCATCAAAAGCCAACTGCTGTAACCTCTCCTAGTCTGTGTGCCCTTCCTTACCATTTTGACCTCACTCTGATGATGTTTGGCTACACATGCCCTGGTTTACATCTGTGAAATGTAGGAGGGTATGAAATTTCCATTACATTTGGGGGGGGGGGGGGCAACTGTAGTGGCTTCAGGGATACTGTATATACTCGAGTATAAGCCTAGTTTTTAAACTCTTTTTAGGCTGAAAAAGCCCCCATCGGCTTTTACTTGAGTGAGGGTCCTGGCAGGAAGGCGTGGAGATGAAATAAGGGCTTCTTTCAGCCCCATGTCTTCCTGCCAGGACCCTTACCACAGCAAACCCAACTCTTCTTCCTCTCCTCCTCTCTTGGCACCAGTCTTTCCCACTTTTCCTTATTCATATACACACAGTATTTTCCACAAAATGTCTAGTTAAAATAAACTATGGTGATTATTGGAAGGATACGTAAGCACATTGAAGAAGGTTATAATAATTATTTAATCAGAGTTGAACAGTTTTATCTTTCTGTATGTAAATATTCAAAAACGTTTAACCTACTGATGCCTCAATTAATGTAAATTTGTTGATATCTATTTGTATTTTGAAATTTACCAGTAGCTGCTGCATTTCCCACCCTCAGCTTATACTTGAGTCAAGTTTTCCCAGTTTTTTGTGGTAAAATTAAGTGCTTCAGCTTATATTTGGGTTGACTTATACTTGAGTATGTACAGTATTTGCTTCCAACCAGCAAGTGGCTACCATACATGCATTTTCATCCTGATGGGTGTCTTCTAAATGAAAGGAAGCCTAGCCGTTCTACCTATTCTGGTATATTCTTCTCAGGGAAGTTTCAGGGAGAACAAGAGGGCAGTTCTATGAGAGGGTAGAGACAGTAAACTCTCAGTACTCTATGGGAAGGCCCACTAACTTTTCAGTCTCTTTCTTATCACTACAGCTCTCTCGGGTAATTTGCACTTACTTATAGCACCAATTAAAGCAGAACTATTGAATCAATAATAATAATAATAATAATAATAATAATAATCTTTATTTATATACCACTCCATCTCCCTGAGGGGACTCAAAGTGGTTCCCAGGTAACATCACAAAAACATACAAAGTAAAAAACAACATAACCATAAGTTTAACAAAACAAAATATAAGCATAAAAATTGTCGCCATAACACACATATATTAAAAGAATCCTGCCTGTTCAAGGCAATTAAAAAATTTTAAAAGGCCGGGCCAAGATTTGTGCAAGCCCAAAAATTCTAGGGGCCCTGGGAATTAAGTGCAATGCTATGGCAGGCAACAATAATATTAGGTTCAGGTCTGTGGCACATAGTTAAATCAATGAGATTTAACTATGTGTTGATTCACCGTTCAACTGTCTTTTGTAGTTGGAAGGAGCTGGTAGGTTTTATACCATAATGCCCAGATGGCTTTTGTAAGGAGTTTTGCCTAAAACGTTTTGCTTTCTATGGCAACGGACTGCAGTGTATCACCACCCAGCCCTGCTCCTGTTCTTTGTTTCACAGTCACCTGGACTGGCAGTTGAAATCTTAACTCAAGATCAGTAATGGGAGTGTATGTTCCACTGTGTCCTCAGTTCAAGACAGATGCTTCAGATTTCTATCTTAAGGAGCAGAGAGCAGTCTGCATGACACATACAACTCTGTCCTTCAAAATACAACTAAATCCAATATCTGCAAAACAGTGGTACTTTTATTGGGCCACATAATTACAAGTACTAGAAGAAAGGAAACTTTAACAAGAGGAAGCAAATGAACTGGGATGTAACTCTTTCAGGTTTCCACCTGTGACAATGGTATAACTTTTTTTTTTAATTTGGAGAAAAGTTTTTCCTGATGTCACTGTACAGAGACTTGATGAGACTCTGCTTTAGAAGGGGACAGTTTGCATTGCACAGGACAGGGACAAGATATTAGATCTTGAAGGAAGTTACTTTTCTGACGCTAATGGAGTTGAAATGTTATTGTCTGTCTTTTACTTCTTTTCACCATGGTCTCCACTTGGCCAAGAAGAGGGAAGGTCCTCTGCCTGCAATGAGATACCACCCCCACCATCTTAACTGACAACAGAAATAAAATTTGAAGCAAAATGCAGGCCTGGGATTCTAACATCTTTACTTAACTTTTCCTGTATGATTTATAACACCTTTGCCTGATAAAGAAGCCAATGAAGCTTTGAAAGTTTGCAGGATCCGTTTTGTGCATTTCAGTTAGTTCAATAAACATATCACTGTTTTGTGGATTTTGAGTTTTGTTGTATTTTGCTGCAAGGCCAACACAGCTATCCTTGAAGAGTGTCCTTCAAGTGGCACCATGTTGCCATTCCTCGTGGAGCTTGGAATTGGAAGCAGGTGAAGCACTAGGATTACAGTAGGATGAGTTACTAAAGGGAAAAAACCTTAAATGATTGTGCACATCAGGACCACCAGACTCCAGTGTAATTGAGCCTGTCCAGGAATTATTTGAAGTGTATGGAATGATCACACATTAAAAGAGATGAACACAGTAACTGTCATTGCATCCTCTCAGAAATGATAACGTTTCCCTGCAGTCCATCCTATGTGCAATTACTTGGGAATAAGCTGCACTGAGCATATAGAGAACACTTCTAAGTATGTGCTAGAAGAGTCTTCATATTTAAATACAATCAAATGGTAATGAATGGGTGTGTAGAGGGCGGGGGGGGGGGGAATAATTTGTCTTCCTCCTCTCATACCTGCAGATAGATAAAATTAATGGTACCCAGGCTGCTAATGTTGAGTGTTCCCATCCCAATTCCAGGTCACAGCTTCTTCCCACCAACAGAATCTCCTGTTCATTCTACCTAGTGGTAAGGTTAACTCTGCCTAATAAATTTTTTGATTTTGTTTATAAGCCAAATTTTAGAAAATCATGT